AAACCTCGAAAGAAAAATTTTTGAAAATGACAAAATATGTTAGAAAACCTTCACAAATGAGATATAAGTTAGTTATAAACCTCGAAAGTCGGTTTATAACTGATATATTGCCCTCGGACGCTGCGCGTCCTCGGGGGCAATATATCAGTTATAAACCTCCTTCTCGGTTTATAACTCTAGCTTATACTTAAAGTGTGGTGAATTAATTTTGATAATTTTGAATACTTCATCAGGTATCCAAAAAGCAAATATGGTTGGTTAATTTATTTTTGGACGATAACCTAATAATTACAGCTTTAATTAAAATGTTACTAATAGTAATAATAATAATAATAATAATAATGCTTTATTCACAGTATATATCTACAAGGTAGTTCTTCATCTATGAAGGAGGTACATACTATCCGTTGATGCAGACAAAGAATCCTAGAAAAATATTTCTATGTTTGAAAACAAATTGTTGGGGGGATTGCTTGGAAGATGTTGTTAACCTAGGGTTAAGCGAACCGACTTTTTGACAACTGGCCTGAACAATAATTTTGACCTTCATTGACTTACCAGTAGTTTTTCTGCACCGAATGTTGGAGGTGAGACGACTTCGCCATATCCATTGCAGATTTGGGGGGAATATCGAACACCAGTCAATCTTTGAACCACAAGTATAGGCTTTTCTCCAATTCAGATGTGAGCCATCACATCTAGCTGATGTACACATATTGCCTCCTGTACACTCCCAATACTCGTGTTTGGAAATGTCATTGTGAAAGAATGCAATAGTTATATCAGAATTTTCCCATAGAATAACAATTCGAAATGTTGCATTTTCTGACAAGGTAAAACTTGCACGTTTTCCCTTCTTGTGTTTTACAGTTATTTCTTTGGTAATATTCCCATTTTCGTTCTCTATGGCCAGGTTGATCTTGGTAGTGTCTTCACAGAATAAAATTTGCGAGAAAAATGGCGTTTAGTACTGGACGTATGTCAGCAAAATGAATGGTAAATTACAATTAACATGTAGAGTAAAATTATATAATATTATATAATACTTGGCCTATAAACCTTGTTGTTATATATTTAGTGTCAAAGTTCAATTTTTCTGTTTGCAGATTGGTCAAAACCGTGTCACGTGCCGGTCCACAAAACGTCATGTTCGGCAACCGGTCCGCAATCAAACATTTATTGACCGGTCAATACTAAAATGGGTGCAATACGCATGCGTGTCAACCGTGAAGTTCCAAAGTTCATTTTTTAAACTTTTTACTAAACATTTACGGCATTCCATTTATCCGGTTTTGGTTTCAAATTAAGTTCATTCCAATAACCGGTGAATTATTCATACTTTGCCACTTATATACTATATAACAAAACACTTATTTACTGAGACCTCGGGAAAGCAGTGTGTTTTGTGGCCCCTCGACCGCCGTTGTTGTTTCCCTCGGTCTCAGTAAATAAGTGATAATTATTTTATCGGTAGGTATTTATTGTTAGGTTGAGTCAAGCAGGTGTTTAACCCCACTTAATGAAGAAAATTTAATTTTATCACTCCATGAAAGTACACTTGTCTTCCTTAATGACCCGACTCATGCATTGTTGGGAGCCAAAACCAATGTGAGGAAATGTTCCCCACATAAGGGGCTGAGCCTGTAAAGCCCGGTAAGCGAGATGAATTTCTCTTGTGTTCATATGTGAGAAAATTCCATCTCGTTTGTCGGGACAATTTTGTTGTTTTGACATTGTTTTGACACTTGCTAAAATAGCTAACGGCCCAGTGAGTGTTTATACAGAGACATTTTCATCCAGGTAAGCTAGATCTCACCTTTCTCAACCGAGATCTCGGGAACCGGGCTGGCAGAAACCGAGCCAGCCCGGTTGTCCATATAAATCACAAAGTAGCTTTAACTATAAAAATAACTATACGCGGCGAGATCTCGCTTACCGTAGGCTGTCTCGCCAAGGGAGCCAGCCCAGTATCTATATAAACAGCCCATATAAGTCAAGTATTCATGAATAAATTATACATGCAGTAACTTTTAAGCTCAGAAAAGCAAAATATTAGCAATCGTAAGCTGTTTTTCAACTAGGCGGAAATTTGCGCGCGGTGCGGACATACATTTTTCTGTGTTTTTTTCTAATCAGTAATTTCACCCGAGAAATCACAAGACAAAGAAAAATTCTGCTCCGCGCGCAAACTTTCACATAGTGGAAAACCGGCTATATACATAATGCTAAATTGTTTCGGATATGATACAAGGTACCTCATGCATGACTCACCTAGTTTTCGTTTACACCGCACCCTGGATGCGCTCAATTTTTTTACCCATATCCATTGCGCATTCTGTTTGATTTGCGAAATGGCTCGGTTCCGGCTAATGTTCAAATCATTTCTTCTATATGTTGAGGCTTTTTCCCATTTTAGATCGTTAGAGTTTTTGCTACAACTCCACAAATCATCTGTGACAATTCCGTTGCTGAATGAGGCAAGTATTCCTGCTAAGGCAGAGCCTGACGCTTTTTCAGCTACTATTGTCACATTTTGCGTGCCAGCTGCTACTGTAAATGTGGATACTTGCCCAGCATTCGAATACACTGTTGTATCAGGTTCAGTGGGATTTAAGATTAAGCTGATTTTTCCACCTCCTCCAAGAGTTATGTTAGCTGTAATGGCAGTTTTATCATTTCCTTGAAAAAAGAAAAGGAGGTAAGGTTAGTGATAGATATAAATTGGGACGTATGTCCTGTTTCTGCCGGCTGTTTGCTACTTCTTGTGGCGACAAATTATATTAAATCAGATAATTCAGTAAGAAAAACATCATTTGCCCACTTTGACATTTCATTCACCGAACAAATGTTATCGACATTCGTGAAGCATATATATATATATATAATGTCGTGCAGAGGCGGATCTACCCGTCTTGTCCCAAATTGCAAAGACCTAGGAGAGTGGGCAGCATGGAAAACCTGGACCTCCTTGCAGATGAGGATAGATTCGCCCCTGGTATTGTGCAATAGGGGGCGGGGGGGTGGTGCTTACAGACTGCAGAGGGAAGTGAAGTGGGCAGTATGGAATGGAAAACCTGGACCCTCCTTGCAGACACAGATTACGTATGAACAGATGTTTAACTTTAGTAAAAAAGTTGTCCCAAGGTCGCCATCATCCTAGCAAGTGTCGCTCGATGGATAATTCGTCATATGGTAATACGTCATTGCTTTCATGCCTTTCTAAAAGACATGTTAATGGCCATTGTTGTAAATTTCATTTAACATTCGCCAGAGATGCTCTTGATTGTTCAATCCAAAAAGTTCGATCCAATAAGGCCGCGAAATAATGCAAAACACTGATGCAAAAGATGTTCGGGCTGACATGTTACGCCACCATCTTCCTAGCAAGTGTCATAACGTGTGCATGACGTGTACAGGTTAGGGAAACTTGTGGACATGAAGTCCTATGAAGTTACACATCCGATATATACCTAATCTGCGTTGCAGATGAGGATAGATTCGCCCCTTGTTTTGTGCAATAGGGGTACAGGGGGGGCGTACCCCACATAGTGTTGTCTGTCCCAGACTGCAGAGGAGAGTGGGCAGTATGGAAACTTGTCCCTTCCTTGAGGATAGATTCGCCCTGTTGTTGTGCAATAGGGGTGCAGGGGGTGGGGGTGGAGGGGCTGCGTACCCCACCTAGTGTTGTCTGTCCCAGACTGAAGAGGAAAGTTGGCAGTATGGAAAACTTGGACCCTTGTTGCAGATGGGGATAGTTTTGGATAGATAAGGATAGTATGGAAAACTTGAACCCTCCTTGCAGATGGGATAGTTTTTTGTGTAATAGCTTATTGCTCCAATCCTCACATGGTCTATTTTCTCCAACTGGAGTACTAAAATTTAACATTTTTTTCGTCAGATCAGAAAGAAATATATACATTGAGGAAAGGACAAAAATCCTCCTCTTCGGAAATACATTCCAAGCAATAAAATTCTGAGCAATTTTGTCCAATTTGTATCATGGATCTGAGCAATTGGAGCATTAATATGTTTATCAACACTATACAAATTATTTTCTAGTTAGGATAATTTAAAACGATATAATAAAACAGCTTTCCTTTATATTTACCGCAAAACGTTTTGTCCAATTTGTATAGATCTTTTTTTCTTTTTTTTTTTTATTTTTTTTAAGAACTTTATTGGGTCATTAACAACTATATTTACAATAATTATAGAAACAAATAATTGGGCAAAGATACACTAATTTAAAATAACAACAATAAAAGAACCCAATTGGGAAAAGTGCGAACGGGACTCCAAGTCCCATGCGGGGCACTTCCCCTAAGAAAAGTTTATGTCCTATGGCAGGAGCAAGCACGTACGAGGGTCCATGTACACGGTTGATCAACATAAAAAATTTGAGTATTTAAATTATGATACATGAGTTAATTGAACATTTGAAAGTTGAAAGACTCGAGAAACTAGATGGGGGAAGTATTTTACAGGTTGTGTTCCATAGTTTTACTATTCGATTAAAGTAGGACGCTTGGAATGTTCTGGTTTTACAAAAAGGAACTTTAAGAGTTAGAGATGGATTTTGACTAAGTCGGGTGCGATCGCTATTAACAAAAGAAACAAAATCATAAACGTTCAAATCTAAGTGTTCAAATAGCGCCTTGTAGAAAAATACCAAGTCCTTAATTTCCCTGTCGTAACATAGTGGCACTAGGTTAAGAGCTATCAGCCTCTGTTGGTAAGGTATCTCGCCTTGTTTGGATTTCAGAATCCAAGCGGTAGCTCTTCTTTGAATTTTCTCAACCTTTGATTTGAGATGTATATTGACTGGAGACCAAACTTCTGTGGCGTGGCTGACTTGTGATTTAACGAGTGACAGATACAGCGTACGTCTAACTTTAACGTCCGTCAACAAGGGACAAGTTCTCTTTAATAAACCCAGCAGCTTGTTGGATTTGGCGACGATAACGTTAATATGGGTGTCCCAAGAGAGGTTACTTGTTAAAGTAACACCGAGATCTTTTTCTTGCCCCACACGAAGCAGTTCTTTAGAACCGAGTTGGTAAGTGTGTAATATTGGACTTCTCTTTCTTGTCACGGTCAACACCTTGCATTTAGATGCATTAAATTTAAGGTTATTGACACTGCTCCATGTATCAAGGTTATTCAGAGCCTGCTGTTGATCTTCGCAGTCAGCTACTGATACGATGCTTCTGTACAACTTAGTATCATCTGCGTATAAAGCAGCAGTTGTTTTGTCTGGTATAAAATCAGGAAGATCATTAATGAACACCACAAAGAGCATTGGTCCTACAATACTACCTTGTGGCACTGGAATTGGAGCATTAATTATTAATATGTTTATCATGCAGCACCATACAAATTATTTTCTAATTAGGATAATTTAAAACGATATAATAACACAGCTTTCCTTTATGCTTACCGCACAACTTGCACGACTTTTTGCAGTATCTGGTCATGACCCAGCGAAAAAACCACCTTGTACAATATCCTAGTTGCACAAGACGACCACAATCAGCCCATTTGTCGACACAGACTAGAAAATCATAAAATAACATTTTCTATATAAAGAACTTTACAGATTTTAAGCTCATGCATGCTTAGTATAAAGCCCTGTTTGTTCGTTTTATTTCACAGAATAACACGTTTTGTTAATGTTAAATTGTCAAAACACATTCTATATACCACAATATGCAAACTCAGGGAACTTCTCAAACTGATGGAAAATAGTTTGTCGAGACATTTGAAGAAATATGCAATTCACTGGAAATGTTTTTCAAAATCCTTATTATGGAAATA